GGAAGAAGCAAATGAATTCGTCAAGAAAGCCAGGAAGGTGGAAGGTCTGCATAATCCAATCCTGGGAGCAGACACAGTACTATTATCTATTTAAGAAACATTTTGCATAACTTTACCATAGCTAGGAATAATTTCTTTCATCTCTAAGCACCTACCATATTTTAACTAAAATATTTTCAGCTTTATTACCTTTTTCTCATCACTGCTTAATTTATTCTTGTTCCTTTCATATAAGTGCCATGCTTCCCAAAATAAGTTTGAAATAGAGCACAACCCCCACTTCAATTTCTCATAGATAGTAAGTTCTTTGTGTTCCTTCACCTGAAAGTATCAATGTAATTTTTTGTGTGTGTGTGTGTGTGGTACAGTACTGGGGATCGAACTCAGGACCTTGCAAGAGGCAGGCCTGGTGCCACTGAGCTAAATCCTTGGCCCTCAATGTAATTTTTAAAATTTTATGTCCACTTTGCCCAAGTCATTGTGCAAGGTCATGTTCTGGAGACAGCCCAGGGTAAACCACAATCTTTAACCTTTATGAGCTCATAGATTGTGAATGAAAATGGGCAAGTGAAGTTTGAGAAACACTATTACAATTATGAGCTAATGCTTTAAGACATGGAAGATGAAGAGGTTAAGACTGAGAGGACAGGGAAAGTATCATCCTTTAAAGTAGACACTGGAAGTGGACTTTGACTTATTTGGGGACAAAGAGCTGGGAAGGTATTCTAGGCAGAGTCTGAGTAGACATAAAAGAATGTATCTGATATTAAAGAAATCATACTATTGTGAACAAGAGGAACAAAGGGAGAAAAAGATGAGAGACAGAAGAGAATGGGAATCGTTTTCCTATCTAGTGATAGAATAAAGAAAATACAACAGTCACTAATATTTGACACATTGGTCACAATTTCTTATATACTAACACAAAATCCATCAACATTAATATATAATAGGCTATGATGAGCAGATGGATACTGTGATTTCTTAGGGTTTCATCTTAGGGTTAAGTGTGCAGTTGTTAGATATCTGGCAGCTCCAGACATTTAGAGAACCAGAAGGTTAGTCATTTTTACAATTATTGAGCCTCAATGACTAAATCAATGTAGGCCAAAGAAAAGGAAGGATCATATGATGAACTGAAATATATATGGGTAATGATGGAATAGATAATAAGAGGAAGTCTGAGTAGAAATGAAACTTCAAAAAAAATATACTGAACACTTGCTAAATTTATAATTACAGCTATTCAAGACATTCAAGGTGAAGTTTCCAAGTTAAGGATAAGCAAAAGCAAGAGTTATTTCACTGTAATTCCTTACTATTCAATAATAAGTTCTAAATACAGATTTGTTTTAAAATTTGTATTTTTGTTAACTTTATTATTGTATTTAGCAAAACGGAAATATGGAAGAACTTAGAAAAGAAAATTAAAAAGCAAGGACCTAAATATATATTATACTAATTCTTGCACTTCCTTTTTACAAAATTACTGTGACTAATATATCCATTTTCAATCTCAGCTAAAAAAAAAACCATGTGATTTTTAAGATGCCTAAATACTTTTGTCATTTAAAATAATATAGTAGAAAACATCAATAAACCATAAGTGTACTATCAATAAATTGTGCTTCTATAACATAAAATCCATCAACATTAACATTCTATTGACATACAAATAAAAATGACTTATTCTAATTAAAATCTTACTTCATTTTCAGATGTAACAAAGGATAAAATAAAATGCAGTAAAAAGACCAGAACGTGTGGTAACAAATAGACTAGGGAAAAATTCTAGGTGCTTAGAATGAGAACTCGTAAGGAGGAGCCTTCATTAATGAAGGAGACCCTAGAGTAAGACAAAATGTCGTTTGTTCTCATGTCTTATCGATTATTCAAGTCCTGCTACAGTCTAGATCTGGAATGGTCCCCAAGGCCTGTGTTAAAGGCTTGGTGCCCAAGTTGCTTGTTTTGGGAGGGGTGAGAACCTTTTAAGAGATGGGGCTTTGAGTCAGGTCATTGGGGATGTGTGGCCTTTCTGAGACTGTAGGACTTTACTGTCTTAATCCACTCCTTTCCCACCACCACCACCACCCTGGTTTCCTGGCCTTTGCTCCACTACGTGTTTCTAACATAGTCATCTCAGACCGAAAGCATGGTACCAACCAATCATGAGTTGAAACCTCTAGAACTGTGAGCCAAAACAAGTCTCTTCCTCTTTATAAGTTATCCCGGATATCTGTTGTAGCAATGGGGGAGCTAACACAAAATATATAATTTTAATTGATCCACATTAGTAAGTTTTTTGTTCAGTGAAATGTTGAAATGTTGACTGGTAATCTTTGTTTTCCTTTCTTATAAGAGAATAGAGAAAAATATGGAAGTAAGTGCTGAGCAATGTTTAGCAGTAAGATCGCTGATTGTGCAATCAGTTTGGTTCTTCCACTGTGAAGCCCCCAACCCTGGGCTTTTCCCTCAGGTTTTCTGTTCCGCAGTTTCCTAACCCCTAATCTTGCATATTTTTCTTTGGCGCTATCCTTGCTTTACTGATTAAATCAGTGTGGCACACAATAGTAATACGTATATCCAGAACATCAAATGAGATGATTATTTTGTGAGAATCAAATGAGTTAAATATGGAAATATATATTTGAATTTCAAAGAATCATACCCAGTTTCTGGCAAATAGTTGGTATTTCATTGGTGAATAAAAATGAAGTTATGTTTTAAAGTATAATTATCCTTAAACTACTTGATACTAACTCAGCTATAGCGAGTACCTCATCTGGTTTATAATAATTTCACCACTAGGCTTTTGCTTCTACCACCATTCCACCCATTTCTTCCCTACTTTACTTCTCATCTGTTTTGCAATTTAGACCATGAGCTCATGTTCAATATGGTTTTATGTTCTCAGAACATCCTGGAGATATAATTTCAAACCCAGGTGAGTTTGAGGCCTATGGTTTCCTTTGTTCTTCCACCAAGAGCCCAAGTTGAAATGAGAATTCTCCTTGCCATCTTTCTCTGTTCCTGGGTGGATTATTCTACCCCTTCTTTTTACTGACAGGGCCAGCTGTTGAGTGGGTGGAAATCCACTCACTCTAGCCTCCTACTGAGTTATGCCGGGAACATGCAATGTGTTAATATTTTTGTGCCAGAACATTCTTCTATTAAGTAGATGAAGAGAAACCCTGTCATAAAATTAAAACTTATTTTGGAGATCTTAAGGGGGGAGACATGATTAAAATTTTCTACCATTGATATGTTCACTATAAATCAGATATTTTAAAGATATTTTAAAAGGGCCTAACAATATCATTGTTAAATTCCTTTTTTCTAAGTGAACGTCTAGGTTGTTCACAAGTTACATTTACTACTATCAGAGCTTAAGTACAGAACCATATTGAAGTTTGATGACTTTGTCAGACCAAAATTTAATTGTAGCATCGCTGAGTTCTGACTTTTAATTTGCATAAAATATAGTTAGTTCCAAAGGGAATATTGATGCATATTTCCTTGAGGCAATGACAAACAATGGTAAGCATCTTTTATATTTTACATAATATATATTTTTCTAAATATCTGAAAGTATATCCTCTTAGATTAAAATATATGCACATTTATATTAATGCAAATGAACATCAATAAATAGAATGAAGCACATGGGAAAGAATTAGAACTAGACCAATAACGAGCTAATTGTGGACTATAGAAGATAGGAAAATGTTAGTTGTATTTTTTAGCACACATTGTGAAAAATCATTCTCTAATTCCTTCTTACCTAATCCTCCTCCATTAACATTACTCCCAATGAATTACTCTTCCTCTGTAGTTCTATATTAAATTTATTCAGAAGATTCTGCGCAGGAAATGCTTAATACTGTTGGTACAAGTTAGGTGTCGTCACAGAAATAACGAATGATCGCCAATCAGTAAACAGTGCTGGTTTTCAAGATCTTCTGAAATTCAGTAGAAATGTATATTTACCAAGAACCATGATTACTCAGAAATCTGTTTATCCCAATCTCAATAATTGCAGTCATGCATTGAAAACTATTTTACAGGCTGATTAATAGGAGTACCAAAAGAAAAGTGATCTTTTGAAAAAGAGAAAGCCTTTTCTTTTGGAAAGATTTGTTACAGGTGACACAGTTGATGTAGGTACGGTTGGGCCAACTAAAGATGAATAGGTGAAAATAATCATTAAAACTATACAAGATTTAGCTCTCAGACTATCTTACAATTGTCTTTAATCCATAGACCTATTTAAAATGATTAAAAGTGGCATTTAAAGATGAGGCAAATAGAGGTAGTTGTAGTTTGTGACAGCAACAATATATGAAACTCAAATCTGCAGATGACTTCAAAGAAACCACTCTACATCAAAAGATTAGTTTTTCATTTCAAATAAAAAATGTAGATACATATAAAGTTACTTTTAATCATTTTTTTTTTGCCAGTCACTACTAAATAGAATCAAACCAAGTATGTGGATTTTACTGTACTATTAGAATACCTAACAAAGCACTGGGTAATAAAAAAATTCAGGCTTAAATTATTTTCATTTAACATAACCAGCTGTAATTTCCCTTACCATTTAGCCACCATACTAAGATCATTCTGGAACTTCAAGAAAGCATTAGGAGAGGAGAGAGCAACACAAAATCTCTTTATTTCTAACACCTGAGGCCTAGGGAAGGACCAGAATAGATTCCTAATCCATCTTCTACACCCAGAGACAGGAAATCTCCTTTCTAGATCTAGAATAAGGTTAATAACTTTGCCCCAAGTTAGATAATTGAATCTTTAAGAAACAGATAAAGCCTGAAAGAAATTCAGTAAACCAATATTTCCTGGAAGATTTGAGAAACTAAAATTTCAGAAGATAAGCTGACTCAACAGCCCTCTAAAGTCTCCATTTTTCACAAAGAGCTGAAATGGCAGAAATAGGGAGTTCTCAGCTTCCTTATATTGGCTTAACTTGTTTTTCTGGATTCCACCTTGGGTTCTCCTTGAGGCCCAACTCTGGCTCAATCCGGCCAGTTTAGAAGAAACAGCTGCGTGGTTTGCTGTTGACACAACAAGCTGAATTAGGCCTTATTCTCTGAAAGAGTAAATGGGCCTGCCATTTCCCAGGGTTCACAGAAGCTGTCTGGGACAAGTTGCCATGACCAGCCAGTCTCAGGGAGTCCACCAGCTTCTTCAGGCAGAGAAAAGGGCTAAAGACAAGCTAGAGGAAGCCAAAAACGGTGAGTGTCTATGAGGGTTTTATCCAAAATGGATGAGGGAGGCTGGGATGAGCATGGGCTTCCTGGTCAGACAGACCTGAGTTTAAAGTCCGCTTTACTCTGCTCCCTGTGAAGCCTTGGGAGTCCATTAAAACTACCCAGCCGTGTGCTCCCTATCACTGTTACAGGGACAAAGTTTTCTCATTCTGATCCATTTAAGAGACCCTCACAAAATGAAAATATCATGGAAATTTGGTTTGTTAGGACTGTGAAATGCGGGAGGGGTGGACAACTCCCAGAATGAATCTGCTGGTCAGAGAGTGAACCTGAGCCAATCACTTATCCTTCAAAAGCCCAAGTTTCCATTTCTATAAAATTGTGATAGTAATATTTAGTCATTCTCATCCCTTTTTGATATTCACAACAGCTATGTGAATAAGGTATTAATGTGATCCTATTTTATGTATACAGAAACTGAAAATTTATGATTTGCCTAAGGTTATTTTAAAAAATACAAAAATACAAAAAGTGGTGCCAGATACCCTGCTCGATATTTATCTTGTTTACTCCTCACAGTGACCTTGATTGCAAAGGGAGAAAGTAATGATTGTACTGCCTGCCCAAGGTCACACAAAGAGTAAACGGTAGAGACAGGATTTAGAAAAGGTCAGATTCCTCAGTCAAGATCTTAACCAATGCACTATAAGAAATTTTTATAATGAAAAAAATGTTGTCAATCTGCATCTTGAATTCAGGTTCTCTAAGCTAAGATCTATATTTTTTCCTTCCATCCTAATTCACATCACCTCCTTTGATTTACAATAATTTCTAGTGTCAGCCTCCTTCCTCCTGGCTGTCTTGCCTGTACAATTAGATTCAAAGTCAAGCAAGATAATCTTAAATGTCTTATGTAATTCTTTGGATGAATATAATGACAAAATTAGAGTAGGCACTAAAAAGTTTAATGGCATTGAATGGAATTGACAGTACATTACAATGGAAAAGAATCAGTAATGAGGTGTGCACTACTCAGTCTACTGGGGTTTTTGACCATTCAAAATCCTTTCTATTTCTTAAAATTTAATTTCCTGCACACTCGAATGTGGGCACCAACAACACAAAAGGTAAAGACTCCAGGTGGAGGTGGTAGCAGAGTAAGTGAAAGAAAAAGATAATGAACACTTGTTTTATCTGCTTTTCAACTTATTCTACAGCAACCCATGCAAACAATTGCAGGATGGTATGAATGCCATCATCATCCAGAAAACAATACACAAAGCAGGACTTGTTGCTTGAAACCATATAGAAACTCCTATAGTTTTTATTGAAATTTGAACCACACTTAAAACTTCCAGAAAAAGAGAACAAATATTTAAAATGTGATAATTATACTATTAAAGGAAGAAAAGGTCTATACTGAGCACATATAAAATCAATATATTATGATTCAAGTGACTCTTGCTATTTTTTCCCTTTTCAGAGTAGGGACTGCTAAGAACTGCGACTTCGCAGTGAGGGTAAAAGCCAGACTGCTTTTTATTTACTCCGGTTTGGGGGCAAACTTTGCTCAGAAATCAGTTCTAAAATGCATATTGGATATTTGTACACAAGATGTGCATCTCATGTACTAATAACTTAAAAGAACATGTTTACTTTTTCTCAGTGTACTGTTTTTGTTCATGAATATTCAAGCAGACTATTCAACCATAATAACCCAGGCTTTAAAAATAATTTAGAAAATATTTTGACTTTCAACAACCCCTACACTGTTTTATAGAGAATGTCAGTGTGTCCTCTGCCTCTGAAATCACAAGTTTCACTGGATATAAATTGTTTCCTCACATAGCTATCAATCAGCAGGTAGCAATTTATAGATAGAACAGAACCTGTTCTACTGAATTCTTTTAAACATCCTGTGGCAGAATAGATCTATTACCCTATATACTCAATATGCTGTAACTTCATATTTCAGAAGTTTTATCTCATTCATTTATCTGATTCCTTAAGAATTTATTTGGTGCCTACAGCTCCACATCACGCTGGTGTAAGCACTGATGTACAGTACTAGATTATTCTTAAAGTAAACCCCGTGAGTTGAATACAGAAATGTCCATTAAAACAAGAGAAAGGACTAATGAAAGGCAAAAGTAGTCATCATTTTAACAAACCCATATATCTTTACTTTTATCTTTTTTCCATAAAAAGATTCATTTGAAAACCTAGTGTAGTGTAAGGCTGCATAGAGATTCAAATGGGGGTCAGTAAGTCACAATGTTTAATGCCACTGTAGAAGGTCGATATCGCTTACTCGAGAGTCCATTTGAATAGGACTTGAGTATATATTTTTAAAAGATTTAGAAAGGAACGAGTTAAGGAGAAAGATGGGGGAAAGCCCATAGTAATTCACATTGCTAATTGTTTTAGAAAAGTCCAAGATAAATAAGGGTGGTAATCTTTCTATTCTGCGAAATATTAATATATTCCATTAAGGAAGGCTGCCTCAGACTGCAGAAAAATTGTGACAGAATACAGTATATAGTATAAATCCTCTGCCGTAAGGGATACACAGAAGGGACTGTGGATCTGCTGTGTTAGAAACTCCCCCTGTGATGCCTGGAGGGATGGAATTGCAGTCCCTGCCCTCCAGACATTCACTAGCTACTGACAGAGACAGCATTCAAGACAACCTGGTGGGAAGGGCTGTGGACAGGTTTGAAAAATCAAGATGGGAGGCAAGTAAAGTTTTCACTGTAAAACCTGTGTTTCTCAGTCTGTTATACAGCATCTGTGTGAGCACTGCTCTTTATTAAAACAATAAAAGAAGTTATTGAAAACCTGTATTAACCAAAATATATGAAAGATCAGAAAAATCTCAGTACAGTACAAAGTAAGTATCAGGGAGTTGTTTTTCTTTTTAGAATGTAAGTATATACACCGTTGTAAGTACCAACAATGGAGGAATGAAATAGATCAGAACAATCTAGTCTCATTCCTTTTCACTCCTGCCACAAGTCCCGGGGCTATATTTCCTACACTACAGATCCTCCTACTCATAAAATGACAAGACAGGCTCAGATATTTGCCTCTATTCACTGATTACAGATTAAATTGTGTTTATCAGTTTAAAATCTCTGCAAAACGGCCCTACCACATTTACATGGAAACATAGTAGGTTCACACTACTTTAAGTTAACATTTTTGCCCCAAAACATTGCTCTGCCTTTCATATTTTCAATAATGAACAATCTACATTTGTACAACCTGCCCCTGGAGATCCAGGTCTGGGATATGAAACTGAGCCTTCAATCAGAATTATTTTAGAAATCCAAAGTGACAGCAATGACAGGAGGTTTTTCCAAACTGTGCAACAATTTCACTTCTGGTTTTGATGTTTTATGAACTTTACGCCCATTGCAAACTTGGAAAACTCTAGAGCTTTGCGCAAATACTGCTAGTTTGAAATTTTCAAGTGCTTGAGACTCAACATCAAGTAAAGAACCCATATTCTTGAACCATTTCCTAACATGCACCATGCCCTCTCTACAAGTAAACACCCAAACCTTCTATTTGGACGCTACTGAAAACAGTCTGTGCTTAACTTAAAAACTATAAATTGAATTATATGATACAGATTGGAAGATATGGTAAGCAAATGTAAATCTTCAAATCTGGATATGAGCAAACCAGAACAAAGAGGAATATTTTTAAGACATCCTAGAAGCTATAGAAACCATGGTACAAGTGAAGGACACAGCCCTCTAGCTTTCCAGGGAGACAGTGTGGTCCATGCTGGCTGCCTGGAGCAGTCCTACCTGAGGATAAATCCAACTTCTGCATCTCACTGGCAGGTGGCCCCATCAGGTTACCTCCTACCTCGCTGTGCCTGTTTTGAGCTTGTGTCTATTTTACTCAGAATGGAGATACTAATACTACCCAGTTCATGGAGCCATCATGAATAACAGTTAATATTTATGAAAGACTTAGGACACCACTTGGTACCTAGAAGGTACCCAATAAATGTTAGCTATTAATTTCCTTTTAATACTTAATAAAAAGAATTCTATTTTTAAAAGGCCAGGAAAAGAATAGACTTGATTTCTTAAGCATGATCCACTATGAGCTTTCAGATGCTTCAGAATATATTTCTGCTTTCAAATTAGATAATATATCAGCTAATACAGTAATGCAGATTAGTTTTTATGGGTGTACAGGAATATTAACCACCAATAATTTTTCCTTAATTCAGCAAATCAGTATGTTTCCAAATCTGTAGGTATTCTGAATTATTTAAACACACTTATTTATTAAATTCTTCAGCCTGTGAGTGAATATTTTGACTCATGAAGACACGGCTTTAATATAATAAAATGAAAGTTGTTATATTAGAATTTCATGGCCCTGTCTTTGTAGGCCTGTAAATACTTCCTCTTTCTTTATAGTACACAGACTAACAAGGTATTTGTAAGTACACTGGATTTTCATTTCTTTGAGTAATAGTACAGAACAGTTTTTGTCTATTAATAGGTACTTAATCCAAGATCTGTACAAAACAACTGTTTATATTTTTTAGTAAAGAAAATACAAGGAAAACACTAAGGAAAGTGGGGCTGTGAAGGGAGATCGTCCAAAGAAGCTTGGTAGCCAACATGCTCACTAAGGAGAGCTGACTTTTATTTTTTTTCCAATATTTGTAATAGTTAAAAAACGGCATTCTTTGAGTCTGGTTGGTTATATCATAATACTAACAACCCCCCCCCCAAAAAAAAGCCAAAAAACGTTTTTTCCTGAGTTCAGAACAGAATAAAAGGTACTAGGAACAGCTAAGAATCCCCCAAACATTCTCAAAGTATCCTTTGTTTTCCTAGCAAATCAAAGAGGCCGCTGTTCTGTTTCTGTATGTTTTTGTCAGGCAGCACATTTATCTGGGTGTGTATTTCTTTCCACCCTGCTAAGGTATCTGGCTTTTCCTCCAGGGTCCAAGTGGCAACAGTCTTTGCTCCTCACTGATCTTCCCCCTTGGTTTCTGGGGGATACCGTGATACACTACCACAAACCAGGTGGCTTTCAACAACAGAAATTGGGATGCCAGCAAGAAGACTTGGCACTCCTTGGCTTGCAGCTGCACCGTTCCAGTCTCTGTCGACATAATCATTCCTCCCTGCGCCCCTTCTCAGTCTCATGTCCAAATCACCCTCTCCATGAGAAGACACCAGTAGTTTAATCTTACTCCACTGTGACCTCAGATTAACTTGACCACATCTGCAAAGACCCTAAAATAAAAACACCAGAGATTAGGCTCAATGTAAGTTTTGGGGATGGAGAATCAAATTCATAGCATCCTGTAGTTTTCAAGTTCACCTGACCTTATCTTATTTTTTTGGTCCCACTTCATTGGTAAACGCTTTCTAAAGTTACCTGTATTCTGTGTCCACATTGTTTCCATCATATTTTCCTGTGAACTTTTATTTTTACAATTCCATCAAAGCTCCTCTTGCCAAGATCAATGTTTCTAATCCTGATATCAACTCAGTTTCGTTCACAATTAGATCCCTCTTTCATATTTGAAATCCTTCCTTCATTGGAAGGACATCACTGTCATTGTTGGCTTCCTGTATCTTCTCAAACTCTGACATCAGCACCCTAATTTGCACCTGTTCTGTTATTTCTGGGTTATGGCCTGTGATAATGATCCCAAACTTGGTTTTTCAGCTCTCTTGGTCAGTTGCTTTTCTGATCTTTAAACTCAAACATCAGCCTTCTCAGCATCGCTACTAGAAGTTTAGTTGACATCACAACAAAGTGATATTTGTGAGTCCACCCACAAAATAAAATAGTAGGGTCATTTTTTGACTCATTTCTGTCTCTCACACTTGGTTATTTTTCTTTTGCAGTAAGGATTGCAGCCAGGGCCTTTGCACTGAACTACATCCCCAGCCATTAAATTGCTAAGCTGCTTGATGGGCTTGAACTTTACAGCCTCCTGCATCAGCCTCCCAGAGTGCTGGGATTATAGGAATGTGCAGCCACACCTAGCTAGGTAAATGTTTTTGCTGTTCTGCAGGATGCCCTTACCTTCCCACCTAGGGATTCTGCACATACTGTTCTCTCTGCCTAGAACAGTCTTCCGGTCAGTTACTTGTATTGCCATGTGTCTTATTCCTTTCAGTTTCTGCTCCCATAGTTTTTCATTCCAAGGGCCTGACCTATTAAATTAGAACCCACCACCTTTTTCTCCTTACCACTTATGTTCCTTTATTCTTCATGGTACTCAATGTCCCCATCCTATTCTGTACTTGTCTATTTTCTCTCTTCTGACTACATTCAGAAAGCAGAATCCAATCCATGACAAGTAGGTGGTCTTCTCTACTCTATCCACTGATCTGTAAATGTGCGGCACATACAAGACATCCAGAAATGTTAGACTAAATGTCTCATTTAGTTCTCTGTGACCTTTAATGCTGTTGACTGCATCTTTTTTTTGAGATGTTCTTTTTGGTTGCCCGCCCTTCTTGCTACTCTCAGGCTCCTTTTCTTTTTCTTGAAAGTTGCATGTTGATATTTTCCCAGGTTGAGACTTAAGCGCTTGCACACTCTACCTTGATTTTTGTTCAAACAAAAATGTTGACCGTACTGGGACCTACCCAAACCCAGACGACTGATAGGCAACTTTGTCTCCATTGCCGACTTTCCTGTGAATTCCAGACTTGTCTTCCTAGCTTCCCCTGATTTTCTTTTTTGGATGTTTTCAGGGAGGAGCCTACAGGAGCTTCTGGAATGACAGCCTTAGGACTGTTCTCAAGCTCATACCTTATTTGCCACCTTCATCTTACCAAGAAGCAGGCCTGTTTTCCTACTAATGATTAAAAACAACTACTTTGTCAAGCACCATATATTAACTACAGTATATATGATCTCTTTGCTCTGTATTGCTCTTTCTTTGCTCTATTGCTCTGTATCTGTGTTATTGATGTAAAAATTCAGGCTCAAAAATAACTTATATTTACAAGGCTTTTAATGTCTCCTTCTGGTGGTGCCTAGTATAGGATTCTGATTCTCTTCTGAGATGATAAATGAAACCCCATTTTCATCATCAGAAAAAGATTCCCAAACAAATGTAATAACCCAAGCAATAGCATAGGTTTCCCTGTATCTTGAGGGATTGCTTCTTGGTGGCATGGTTCATTTGGCCTGTCCTACACAGGTCAGAAAGGTCCGCTGTCTTTGAGCATTATCCTATGTCTTCTATGGAAAATTCAGCCGACCTTGCCCCAAATTTATTTTTTAATTATTTTCTTACAAATCGCCTAAAAATCATTACATCCTTTTTTTTTCTTTCCTATAGAATATATTGTAGAATATTTCTCAATAATGGCTTGTTAAATCTAAAACCTATCTGTATAACATGTTGCATGTTTAAAAATGAATGTGGTTTTATTAAAGTGGAACTATTTACAAAGTCCCCAAAACGATCTTTTAAGATCTTCTTGCCCTTTTTCAGTCCTCAAAATAGTGGCCTGTCCATCCCCATTGTTGTCTTGGCTAATAAGTCTACTCAACTTGATGGTTTTCTTTCCAGAAGCTTCTCTTGACTTCCCCGACAGGCATCTTGGAGCTCCCATGATACATATCTGGGCAGATCTGTTTGATGGCAGCTTATCCTGTTAACATACTGCACAGCGTGTGATAGTTGGGGTGAAAGAGAAGCATAGGTTCCCCAGTATTTTAGTACTTGAAGTCGCCATAAGTATTGTGATTTTTAACTCTTACAGTTAACTCTTACAGAACACACAAAACTAAGATTTATGTTTCATTATTTTCACAGTTGATTTTGCATACTCTGTGGTTTTATTTTGTGCTTTTCTTGGAAGCTGTGGCAGCAGGTACACATTTTCAAACTATGCAGAATTTATGCCAACTGGAAGCAACGACCATAAGATATGCAGTTCTCTATCCTTTTTCTGTTTCTGTCCTTATATCATAGGGGAAGAATAAGCGTTGTATAGTGATGGAAGAAGAAAATAAAGTCCATCCTTTCTTGGACCACTCTGCTGCATATTGTTCAGGATTATTTAAAATCACAATGCCTTACGATATTTCCAGAACCAAAAATCAGAATATTTGGCCTGCTGACCTTGTGCATCCTTGTAGGTATTTGGTGAACACAGATTCAATTGTTATATATAAAATCTGGAATGTTCCATATGGTTTGATGCAGAGTGTATAGAGAATAAGAATATGAACTCCTTTCTGTTCACAGTGAATGTTTTTGATGATTAAGAGGAAGTAGGTGTAATTTCAAAATTTGGCACTTTTTCTATACAGAGAAGCAAACTAGAGGTTAATATGAACGGATTTGACACATGCATTTTGCTTCACCTCGAACAGAACAGTAGGCTTTAGGCTCCCATTTCTTCCAGTGGATTAAATCAGGTGTAGCATATGCAGGCTCTCACACAGCGGCAGCTGCTGAGTCTATCCAGAAAATTGCTGCGCCAGCAGCAATTTCCCCATGGCTCTCCTATTTAATTGAATGAGAACCAGCAGGTGACTGGTGCCATGACAGGGGAATCACAGACACACTCTGAGACTGTCGCCATGTGATGGAGCTAATATACAGCCTCATAGTGGAGTGCTGGATTCTGCTCCGGGGTAGGGCACGAAGAGCTTTTGCTATTTTTTTTTTTTTAACGTGCTAGAGAGTTGTGACTTTGAAGCCAATATTTTTATGTAGTGTGTACTTAAGATGGACAGTAATAATGTTTTGTGCCATTTCTTTTATAAAATGCTCATGTATACCACACCTCAGTATTACCAAGAAAGTGTTCACATATTAACATTTCATATTTTTGTCTTGATGTTAATGACAAGCAGTGATAGGAAAGAGAATGGAGATCAAGGAATAGTTGCCCCTACCAACATATCATTTAGTTGCTCTTTTCATAGAAAATCTCTGAATAGGATGTATTGGGTTGCCACAAAATGGTTCAAACCATAGAGAATGAAACCGAATATACAAAAAGGTAATAAGCAGTAAGTAGGAAAAAGGTGAGCATCACTGTGAGTGTTCCCCTTAGTCTCTGCATCAGAAGAGCATTGCATTTCCCCAGACCTTGGGTTTTAAAGAGAGCAAAGCTACTTTCCATTCAAGGGTGGTGAGCATTTAAGAGAAACACGTTTCAATTTGTAACTCAGTGAATCTATTTTTATTCCAAATACATATTCACCAACTCCAAAGCAACTCAGACCTAACTGGGAGAAAAATTTAGAAAGAATATGCATTCAAATGGTACAAAGACATAGAAACATAAGATTTTTTCACGCTGCTTAGTGAGAACACACTTATCTAATTCAGGGTTTATAATGTAACATAGGTAACCAAAGTTACAAATGAAAAGTTAAGACACTATCATAGAAAATAAACCATATTAAATGGACCAAAAAAGCATTTCACTAAAACTGAAAGGTAATATTGAAGAAAAAAATGAATTTTAGTACCATTCAGGTTTTTTTTTTTAAATTTTACTTATCACAGAGTACTAGTACCTAAGCGCCTGAAGGTGAAGGATGGTGAGGGGTGTAGCAACAATGATTAGTCTGCAACTCCTAAAACTTATTTATTCTGATTGCCAGAAAACTCATGTGCTTGGTTAATGATCCCTCCAGTATTGTATTTGTCTAAAACTTTCATCTACTTTGTCTGTTGGCTTAAGGCTTACACCTTTGCGATTAATAAAAGAAAAATGGGTACTTAACCAAATCTCCTAACCATTAAAAACAATTGGTTTTACAGCCACTTTCAAGTCCCCCTCCAAGAAATCTACTACCAAATAAATAAAAATAAAACCCTACTTTGATGTGTTGTGGGCCTAATCAGACATTCTAGAGAACCAAATGGTAAGAAAAATCCCAATAAAATGTTTAAAAAAATTGTAAGTCAGTTTGATAGAGGCTGAGCTGCATGTTTGTAGTGATGTTGGAGCCCTGCCAATGGTAAATAGGATCCAGTTGCTGTGGACTGAAGGATTTCTGGCAGCAAATCAGGACAGAAAATCTGACCAAATAATGTCTTTTCGAGTAAGTGACAGCTAAAATCTGTTCTCTGGCTGTTACTGCTGTGAATAAATGGGCAGATATTTTATTTAAACATGTAAGTGTGAAAGAAGGTTGTCATTTTCATGTTCTAAAGAATCCAGCAGAAAAAATAAGAAAATTTAATATTTATTGTGTTTTAAATGAGGTTGACATTCTAGAAAAAATTACTCAAAACAATGGATAAGCCATCCACGTTTTACAAAGTCAAATTTAACATTCCATGTATATTTAAAAATATCACTTCTATGTCACCATTAAATTTTAGGAAAAAGGAAACGACTGAAACAAGCTAAAGAAGAAGCGATGGCAGAAATTGATCAGTACAGAATGGAGAGAGAAAAGGAATTTCGGCTGAGAGAATCCAAGGTGAGAAAGTCAGCACTGATTTTTCTGCAGCATAGATTATAAAACATTAATATTCATTTAATATAAAGTAAAATATTGGAAGAAATATACTGGAATTAAACAGATACAGTTCCACCAAAGTTGAACATAAAACTAAATTCAGAGCACTTTTTAACTTGTCCTATAAAGAATCAATACTGACTAGTAACATTATAGTATGTATTTAAAAATCACTTTCAAATATCTAAGTTGAAGGGATTGGGCAAAGCATCATTCCTTCTAGAAATAATACTTCAGAAAATATTTGTTCTATGTTTACTAGAAGAGGCAATAAAAAATGTTCATGCTAAGTAGAATGAATGAATTGGTTAGGCCAAGTTTCCTTTGGTAGATGCCAGATGTACAAATTATCAAAGATATGGTTGCAAATTGCTGAAAAGCCTTCTAGTATTTCCTTGGCAATTTGGTGGTTTTAGTCAATAAATCTATCATTTAAGATGGAAAATTTTATCCTGCAGTTTGCAGTAAAAAAATCAGTGCACGACATTTTCAGAGAGACACCTTCCTTTCCATGAAGCAACATGGATTAAAAGATAAAAAGTACCTCTCTATGTCCCATCACTAAAACTTACATGATAATCCCTTTTTTCTCTCAATATAAAGCTCTGTTCAGGTGGTTGATATTGCAAAATGAGCTACAAGTTTTGGAAATCTTCCTATTTGCAATTTTTATTTTACTCATAATAGGACCCTAAATAGGTTTGACTGACTAAATTGAACCCATTGTAGAAATAACTTTTCCAGGGCCGCCTTTCAATAGAAAGCCCTTCCTGGAATAAAGTAAACCACTCAGCAGAAATAAATTCTTCTTATCCGATACTATTACTTGGAAAAATCTAAAATCCTAGTCCATACGTGAGTATACAGCCCTCTGTGATTTGCTGTTGGGATATTTGTAACCACATTTTGTACACCTTTGTTTCTAACTTGTTCTACCCTTGCCATATTGGTTTTCCCCCTCTTCAGAAAGACTATGGGGCCTTTGCACACACCATTCTCAGCCCTGTCATTCTTTCCCTTTTTAGACACATTTGTCTTTTTTTCTTCTCTGTAGTTTTTCTAGATTTTAAGAGTCTGTGGGGAAGTTTATGCCTCCCCTATCATAGTCATGCGATAAATATTTGTTGAAATAATGAATATCCAAACATTTGCTCTGCGGCCTTATCTTTCCTGTTGAATTCTGTCAAAACTATGACAGTAGGACCTGAGAGGATAATCATCACCACTCACAACCAGCTTTGACTCACATAGGATATTTCTGATATGATACTTCTTCTTCTTTTAGCATCATACTAAAACTGACCACAATTTGAAATAGTGGGTGGGCGAAGGCTCTTGAAATGCTCTTTCTCCCGAAAGGATCCTATCACATATAAATTCTCTGCTTTGAAAAACAATTAAAATTCCTCATCACTCATAATTAGAGCTCCGAGCCAATTTTACAGCTAAGTTGATCAAAAGCTCACATAGAGGAGTCATCACATTGAAGCCTCTGCTGCTTCACATGTATTTTCACATGTATTGTAACACTTTAGTGCAAATCCTCTTTCCTTGGTGTGACCTCCATAATGGACAGACATACTGCTGTCCATTAAATCTAGTCATCATTAACCCAGGGCAACTAGGCCTGGGAGGACACCCAAGAAACCAGCTTTCCCCCTGCTGTGGGCATTGCACCTTGATGCTTCTTTTTCTGTTACTGCTTTTTAGCTCTTGTTATTATATATGAATTTTCAAGTCCCCCAATGCAAGCAGGAATCCCAATGTAAATTATATATCAAGTAATACTATTTCATCAAAGGTTTATTTATCCCCTTTTTATTACTGCTACCCAATATAACTTCTACTGAACAAGGTATTATATTGTTTAAAAATCTGGACCATAGAAAATTAGATCTATTGTTAATACAAATAAAAATTACAGGGACTACGATTCTAAGCAAAAGGCCCAATAATGGTTTCCTTGGGCACACAGAATTTTTGTATATTTTTTCTTAATTTATATCACAAAAGTATTAAAAATTTAAGAGTCCAAGCCTGTTTAGGACTGTGGGACTTGAAGTTCTTAAACAGGAATATTTAATCAACTTATATGAAAAGCTATTGAATCAAAGATGGTACCGTCACCATCAGTCGTTAGAATGAAAGGCTACACAAATTAACATGGAGAAGTCCTTAACTGACACTTCTGATCAAATATACCATGACATGGTACAAAATTACCGATTTCTAATGTATGCTTCCCAAATGTTCAGGTAAGAGGCTCTGCCAACATAAGTAACATAAAACAGGTAGTGAATTCTCTGACAGCTGGAGAGCCAGTTACTGCATTCAGTGTAACAAATATGCATTCAGCATAGGTAATTGACAGGTTCCCCCAGTCGGACCCCCACCCAAGCCAACCTGCTACCCACATCCATAGGAGCACAGAGGTAACAAGAAGCCAGCAGCCACCCTGCTGTACTCACAATCACCCTGTTTATCAGCCAGCCCCAGCCCCATCACCAGGGGGTTCTAAATTAACCAGTGCCTCTCCCCTACCTAAAATGCCCCAAATAACCACGAGCACCCTCCTCTCAGTGCCAGCAGCCGCCTTGCCCTTGGCCTATCTGCACCCAGATGGCAATAAACTCATTGCATGTTGCTTAGACTTTGCCTGCCTCTGTGGTCTCAATAGTGCCTCAGTCTGACCTTCCAGTAAATAGTTTCCCGGCCGGTTGTATTTTAATTTTTTACCACTTCAGACATTACATTAAGGGGAAATTTTTTTTTAGTTGGATAAAATCTCACATATGATTGAATTTAGAAGGAAAATGTTTCATATGGTGGAATTATTTTGATAAGTTATTCTATGTTTAAACTTTTTAATAAAGGTGAGTTTGGTCCATGTGTGTGTCTGCTACTTGTATATTCACTTACCAAAATGTTATTTTGTAAAAGATATTTGGTGTGGTAGAAGCTCTTTCTCAACATTATTTTCTTTGAATGCAGATGCCCCTGTTTAGACTAGAGAAAGGAATTTAACCTCAATAGCCTCAATTGCATTTGGCTTCAAGCTTAGGACCCAGAAGGATTATGTGGATCCTAGAAGTTAAAATAGTCTAACAGTTCCATAGTAAAAATCAGTCATCAGTGGAATTTCTTGGATTGTATTAAATGCATATTGTCCTTAAGCACAGAGTAAAAACAGAAACACAGCTGCATTGCCTTAGCAAAGCCATAGTTACGAAAGGCTGAGTTTACAAAGGAGATAAATTAGAAGTTGATTGTTTAACTTTCAAAGTGTTCCACTCATGGAATCCTTTGGATTAATTTTCCTAGTGAGATTATATTTTAGTCAAATTATGACTTGACAAAGAACTAAGAGGATATGTAGGAGATGATGGAGGTAATGAGAATCACTGCCAGTTAAAGACCAATTAGGCGTATTTAACTGTCTGAAGTTGTAATGTAACTAAACAAACGGCTATGTCTCAATCTGAAAGAAATTCAAATTACCTGAAAGTTCTCAAGATTACGTGTGTTATCCAAACACATACATATCTTGTGCATATATGTATACACTATACACACACTTTACTGTGGGTATTAATCCTGTAGACAGCATTTTGTGGCTACATCCTCTTGAAAAACATGAGATCACACAATACATTTTATTTTTTATTTATATATTAATTGGTACATTGTAGGTATACAATACGTTTACATTTATCATTGGGTGTTTGTACCTGAACATCATGTATCTTAGTTCTTATTTTTCCCCCCATTACCTGTGCTCCCTTCACCCCCACCACCCTTCCCTATTTACATAGACTTTGTTTCCATTTTTTTTCCTCATAATTTTTCCTTTCCCTTCTTCCCCTTCTTCCCTTTCCCCTTCACCTCCCGACACCCCTACCCCTTTGGACCTTTTCCTATTTCAACTTATCAATTATTCGTTTTAATCCTTATAGGGAAACTATTCGGTATTTACACATGTGTGTCCTATTTATTTCACTTAAGAGGATGGCCTCAATATGCATCCATTTAGCTATAAATGTGTCTCTAGTTTCTCATTCTTCGTGGCTGAGTAGTACTCCATTTTATAAAAAAAAAAAAAAAAAACCACATCTTTATCCAGTTTCCAGTTGATGGGCACTTCGGCTGTTTCCAAGCTTTACCTGTTACAATCTGTGCCACTATAAACATGGGTGCGCACACATCTCTGTGGTATGATTCTTTTAATTCTTTGGGGAAGATCCCCAGTAGGGGAATAGCTGGGTCAAATGGGACCTCTAGCCCTAATTCTTTGAGGTATCTCCATACTGATTTCCACAGTGGTTGCACCAGTCTACATTCCCACTAGCAATCAAGAAGGGTTCCTCTCTCTCCACACCCCCGCCAGCATTTGTTATTGGTTGATTTCTTGATAGCAGCCACTCTTT